TGTTTTGTCTTTAGAACAAACAATCTTTTGTGGACGATCAGTTTCCTCCGTCATCTCGATCTCTTGGAGCAGGCTCATTCAATCAATGTTCACAATGGCTACGAATATCAGAAGTTACTCCGTTGTCTCATGATGATCGTAGACTACCATGGACAATATTTTCATCCCCTAAACCGAGTGATATTCAACAAGGTGCTTTAGGCAACTGTTGGTTAATAGCCGCTTTAGCTTTAATTTCTGAACAGCCCCGATTACTTGAACATATTCTTTTTACAAAAAAATACAATAATGAAGGTGTTTATCTTGTACGTATTTGTCATAATGGTTTATGGAAAACAATTATTATTGACGACTACTTTCCATGCACAAAACATAAATATTTGGTCTTTACACAAGCTAAACATCGTCAATTGTATGCTCCATTGATTGAAAAAGCATGTGCAAAACTATTCGGTTCTTACGCTGCTCTAAAAAGTGGAGATATGCGTGAAGGTCTTCAATTATTGACTGGAGCACCATGTGAATATATTGATCTTGATTCATCAAAGGATACATTTGATAGTAATTTAATCTGGGCTAAACTTTTAACTTCATGTAAAGCAAAGTAAGTTAAATAGAATCTATTACAGAATGAAAAGGGAATTTACGCTTTAGATTATTGATTGGAACATCATCAGGTGGAAATGGCGTGAGCTCAGAAGAATATGCGCGTGTTCATATTCATAAGAATCATGCTTTTTCTATTCTTTCTGCCCATGAATTCGGAGGTTCAACGGCAAGATTTGTATTAGTCCGTGATCCTCATTCTCATTCAAACTATCGAGAAGACACGGTGACAGAAAGTGTTCTTAAACAATTACGCTTAGTTAATCCTGCCGATCATTCTACAGGTGCTTTTTGGATATCATGGCCACGATTTCTTCGTTATTTTTCTTCAATAACTATTTCAACTTATAATAGTGATGATTTTGATATACGTGAACAATGTAAATTTACTCGATCGTCTACTGAATATGTTATGACTTATTATTTACACGTGCCAAAGTGAGTATATTCTATTTGTTTTTTTGATAATTCTATGTCATATATTTAGGAGCACATCGATCACTATAAGTGTGATACATCATCGACAAGATCGAACAACACGTAGTTCTCTTACTCAGACATTTGTTTTATGTGATGCTGACGAATTAAAATCAAATGGTATTGTTGGTAAACGTGTAAGTATATTGATAGGTAAACAAGGAGGACACACATACTGGAGTGGTTCATTACCAGTTGGCTATTATGTGCTTATACCTTTTTCAACTGGTTTCTGGAAAAATGGTAAATCAAACAGAGATTTTACTGTTGTCATAAATTCCAGTGTTCAAGTGGAGTTAACTATGAAAAATAAACCAGCAACATTTCTTTCTGATTGTCTAATTTCAGCAGCTATGAAAAATGCTAAAAAGAAACAGGTTTGACTTTTTGTATAGATTATTTTAAAAATAAGCTTTTTTGTTTTTATTTTCAAGAGCAAAGAAGCTATTGTTTATACAACATCAGGTAAATTAGGATTGAAAATGCTTATTGCCGAGAATCAATCGGATACACATAATCTAATTTTTGACGTTGATGTACAATATGCAAAAAATGTGCGTCACTCTCGTCACAGTGGCTTTCCATATAACACTCATGATTGTATTCCACCCCGACATCGTCAAATAATATTTCTTACAGAATGGGTTGATAGACACGGTGAATTGGCTAGTTTGAATTATGCATATTCGTACAGTCATGACAAGCGAATGAGTAATCCAAAACCATCAATTGACACTTCTCAACATGACTTTCATTCACCAAGAGCCGTTTAACTGTTGCATATTGTTAAAATGATCAAATTTTTGAATTCGATAATAAATGTGGTTCATTAGATGAAATAAATAAATAGATTATTTTCATTATTGTTAAAAAAATATTTATGTTTACATAGAGTTACTTCTGAAATAGATCAGCGGATGTGGATGGTTGTGAGTATAGAGAGAGAGGAGATCCATACCCACACGCTCCATTCATCTCGTATACTCATGATAGATCGATGAAAACAACTGCTTTCAGTAAACGGTCGAAATTTTCCCTGTTCCATTTTTTATTATTATTTTTCATCGTATAAAATAAAATCACTTGGTGATGCAACTTTCTAACAACGAATCAGAGAATTATGGATGTTCTTTGAAATTCAAACAAAAATGAAAAATTTGATATTTTTCAATTTCTCATGATCAATCTAATTTCGAGACTTTCTCATATATTCACAATATTATGACATAAGAAGAATTTGCGCGAACAGTATCCAATTGAGCATAGAAAAAATATAAATTATGTAAGCAAAAAGAATCTTGATCAAATATAGACTTTCACAATTTTTTTTTACTTAGGGTCATGACGGTGAATTAAGTTTAGCTTTTGTTGTATGCTTTCAATTACGTAGAAGAATCGATGATTATTCATGTGTTGATTGTGGTAAATTCTCTAGTATAGTACTCGATGCAACACTTCGTTTAGACTGAGAAGGAAATTTTGAATAGCATGCAAATGAAGATGATCGATTGAATTGTAGGGTGGAGGATGGAAACATAACACGAGTAGTGAATCATTTTCGTTACTGGAATTTTGCAAATGGAAGCGAAGTTGTTTTATGGAAATCTGTGTATAGAATGAAGTGAAAACGATTTAATAAAAAACAAAAATCATAAGTTATACTGATTGCATATGCTCCAACAAAGTTCGATGAGGAGCGGTTAAGTTTGAAACATCTTTTATGTGTTTTATTGGTATGACAAGTAAATGTAAACGTGCAGCAGGAGGTCTCTTTGAAGCAAACACGACACAATGACCATCTTTATTCAAGAGTCTAGTGGATGATGATTGCCCTCGAGCAATGCGACAAAAAAGGCAATCAACAATTTGTCTTGTTGTTCTATCGTAGACCACGCCTTTTTTATGATCTTATCCGTGTTTGTAGTTGCCATTTCTGCCCACGAGGAAACTACTTCACTAAGTTTCTACTCGTACGATGAATAAAGAGATCTATAAAGATAGAGAAAAAGTAAAACTAGTAAAAGACTCGTTCATAAGAATATTCGCAAAATCAAGATATGTCCTTCTTGCGCTTGCAAGAGTGTTAGAATGGGATGTTTCACTTTGGACGATGTAAAAATGACCTGCTTATGAGCAATATTCATCGAATTATGTGTGAACAATGGTTAGTAAATGTAAATTAATAAGGTACACAATTTATTGAAACATTTGAAATTAGACGTTTATCCAACAAGTTTTATAAATAATTGAGACCAATCGCTAATTTATGAAAAAATCGACAAAAATGTATATTGTCAAGTTCTTTTCATTGTTTAACCAAAAACGTAAAGGAAAACTATGATGACATCTAGAGTCATGGTGATACGATTTTTGCATCGTAGAGATACGTGAGAAGACTGTCTTTCTCACAATCTTTGTTTGATCTTCGAATGTGTTGCTTATTTCATCCAGTAAGAAATACCTTCGTAATCGTATTGTCCTCTCTTGTGTTGCGTTACATAAAAATTGCTCGATGTCAGAAAGAACTGATAAGTTAGATGAGTGTGAGCGTGTTTCTTCCCAGGTCGCAAAATCGGATAACAAGATCTTATAAGAATCGTACGTCTGATCATGTCTGATCTAACAAGATCAGACGAAAATCGTACGAAAAATCGTAGTCTCTGATTTCTTACACCAAGTCGTATTAAAAGATTCTTACAAGGTTCTGTTATGTAGTAAAGTGTTACTGTAATATTTCATTTAAACTAATATATCCTTAAAGTATAACTAAAAGTGGTAGAGTGACAATAAAGTGAACGTAAGATCTGATGTCAGATTTCAGAGACTACGATTTTTTGTCAGATTCTTGTAAGATTTCATTCAGATTACAAGATCTGATAAGATCTTTTATGATCTGATGTCAGATTTTTCGACCTGGGTTGTTTTTTATACCCATATCCACACCCATACCCATAATAGAATGTTAACATGAATATTAATAGTAATAGCTCCATTGTCATCAATAGATATTTTATTGAACTCAATTTAATATTCATTGTAACTACCATTAGGGAATGATGATGATACAACATTAATAGATTATCTTACCTAAAGATATCATATATCAAGTTTAATTTGAGTTAAAGAAAATCATTTCTGAAGAATTTGTTTCTCAAGTTTTTATATAGAAAAGATATGTCAATGTTATGATATATATTGATTTACAATAGAAAACTTTCTATAATGATGTTAATTCATGAAAGACTATTTAAATTTATACCAAAACGAAAAGATTCTAAGTTATTTTATTTCAGAACACAATGCTTATTAGAATAAAAGTATAAATATTAGTATTCGTTGTATAGGGATTTTGAAAGTCTTCGTTAATGAAAATTTTATACATTTAAACATGTTTATTTGTCAAAATTTGTATAATAAATAATATTCTTCTATTACAAAAGAATCATATAATATAATTACGATCGTTTGCAACATAACAAGATTGACCTGGACATATCGTTGTTATAAGTTAATCGTTAATCTCCAGAAAAATATATATCACTCGTAAAATTTCACGTTAAGTTATAAAGCTTCTCACGTATTATTTATTATAGTTACCAAAGACTTTTTTTAAATATATTACGAATATAATGTGTACTGTCTTGAAACAATGATATATTATTATTGTATGAACTGTAACTGGTTCTATGAAATCCTTAGGAAGTGTATTGGTTGAAGCAATTCTTTTTTATCTAATTAGGAATGTACTTATTTTTATTTTTGAGATTATTTGTCTATGAAAAATGTATTATAAATGCTTTGATCTTGTATTAGAAAATAGATACATGCAATTGGTCAATATATTTTTATCAGGATTTTGCTGTTAATATTTTATTGTACTAAAAAAAAACAGTACATGTGAGAGATCAATATGATTGTTAGAGTTGTATTCCAAGTTCTTCTGAAAGTCGTTCAATATTCAATTCCAGGCTCCATAGTTTAAAATGCCAGGGATTTAAACATGTTTTGTATATCGCTAATGCTTGTTGATAGTAATGAAGTGCCAATATTGGTTTATTGAGATTTTCGTAAATCTCACCTATAGTCGATAAACTATTGCCAATATCTTCATGATCTGGTGGTAGTAATTTGAAACGTATTAATAAACAGTTTTGTTCAAATATAAGAGAGAGTTCATGTTGACCTTTCGATCTTTGTACTTGTGAAAAATACGTTAGAATACTAATAATCGAGAGATCTTTTGGAGAGAAACTTGTTTCTCCAATTAGTAAATATCTTTCTAAATATTCAATAGCACAATCGAACTTCGCTTGTATATTGAAACTAGCAATGATCCAGGATAGACAATTAGCAATCTCCGTATAATCATTGGGATAATATTCTTCGAATATATTCAACGCTTGAGAATAAAAATCAATAGATTCATCATATTTTCTTTGTTGAAAGTGAGTATAACCAATATTTCTGATATAATTAGCGATTGTCTTTTGGTCACTAGGAGAGCTTCTTTTAAGAACTGTTAATGCTTGTTGTAAAAAGTCAACAGCTTCATTATACTTTGCTTGTTCACGCAAAGCTAGTCCAATATTGCTAAGAACGACAGCAACGCCAGTATTACTACTTGGATATAATTTCTCACGAATAGCTAATGATCTTTTATAGTATTCAGTAGCATTAGAATATTTCTCTTGGCGATATAGGATATTTCCAATAAAGTTCAGACATTCCGCGATATCGATAAGATTACTTGCATTGAATTTCTCTAGGACTATTAATGCTCGTTCATGAAACTCAAGAGCTTCATCGTCGTTTTTTTGTTCGTAGAGTGCTTTTCCAATATTGCTTAGAACGATGGCACTTCCAGCATCATCAAAAGGATTGATTTTTTCTCGAATAGCTAATGACCGCTTATAGAATTCAATTGCTTCACTATATTTCTCTTGGCTATACATGACATTACCAATACGGTTCAGGGTGTGCGCGATGTCGATATGAGGATATTCATAATGTTTTTCTTGAATAGTCAAGGCTTTTTGATAATGCTCTATAGCTTCAATGTACTTCTTTTGATCATATAAATGATTACCAATCAAGCTGTAAGTATAAGAAATCTCGATGTGATCATCATTATAGATGTTTTCTTGCATTTTAAGTGCGCGATGATAAAATTCCATGCCTTCATCATATTTGTTCAGTGCAATAAGATTCATACCAATGAAACCAAGAGTCTTGGCAATCTCACGCTTCTGCGATGAACAATATTTTTCTTCTATTTTAAGTGCACGTTGATGAAAATCGAGTGCTTCATCATATTTTTCTTGTTTGTTTAATATAAATCCCATGTTCTTCATATAAACAACAATAGAAGAATGATTCACTGGTCTGTGTTTCTCGACAGTTGAAAGTGCTCTTTCTTGGAAATCAAAAGCTTCATCATACTTTCCTTGATCGATTAGAGTGATAGCAATATAATTCAAACTCGAGGCCATTGAAACATGACCAGATAGATAATAGTTCTCTTGCATTGTAAGTGCTCTTTGGCAATAGCATAGAGCCTCATCATATTTTGATTGACAACGTAGTGCATTACAAATGTAATTGAGAGTGTCAGCAATACTAGAATAATAAAATGGATAATATTTCTCTTGCATCGCCAATGTTTGTCGGTAAATATCAAGAGCTTCATCATATTTTCCTTGTTCAGTTTTTACATAACCAATGTTCCTGAGAATACAGATAATTTCATCGTGAGCAGGAAAACAATATTTTCGTAAAATTTCAAGCGCTCGTTCATTAAATGTGAGAAATTGATCATATTTTCCTTGTTGATAATGGACATTTGCTATTCCAGTGAGACTAAATGCCATCTCGACATGACCAGATGAATAATATTTTTTTAGCATAGTCAATGCTTGTCCAAAAATCTTCAGAGATTCATTATGCTTGCCTTCACAGTACAGAATGTGGCCGATACTATTCAGAGTAGAAGCAATGTATACATGACCATTTGGATAATATCTGGTATAGATTGACATTGCTCGTTGACTAAAGTCAAGAGCTTTTCCATAGTTTCCTTGATGTCTAAGAACCTGACCTATGTAATAATAAGTAAGAGCGATATCGATATGAGATAACTCATAATAGTCTTCGAATATAGCTAGTGCTTGTTCATGACAGTTAATTGCTTCATCATATTTTTCTTGCCGATCGAAGATCTTTCCAAAACTACGAAAACTAACAGCAATAAACAAATTATCACTTATCTTTCTATCATCTGTTTGCAATCGGCCAATATTCTGTATATTTTGACACATTTCTAATATGTGTCTTGTGGTCAACTTTTTGCCAATTGGCTTTCGTTTGTTGGTCAAATATTTCGATAGAAAGCGGTCAAAAATTCTTCCGAATTCTCTATTCGAAAACCATCGAAAATAAGTTTGAATGAATCCGCCAAAATTCAATAAAACTGGTCGGAAGAATCTGCGAATATAACTTATTATACTGGTGCGTTCATAATTTTCTGGACATGATTGATCTACCATGATAGAGAGACAATTTTCCTTACGTATTGTTAATGCTTGTTCATAATAGTCGGAGGCATCGTCGTATTTTCCTTCTAGATGGAGAAGTTCACCAATATTGAAGAGTATAAATGCTAAGTTCTTGATCTGTTTTGGTTTAACTCTCATTATTCGATCATAGGCACGATCATAATATTTTCGTGCTTCATTCCATTCTCCTTTCCATTGAAGAACTTCACCAAGACTACATTCAATCATTATCAGATCTTTCTGGTTACTTTTCGAATTGTTCAATAAATATTCTAAGAAATATTGTGATTGATTCCATAGACCCATATCACACATCAATCGTCCAAAGAGAATTTCGATGCTCAGATCTTCTATTTGATGATGTGAATCTTTGATATATTTTTCTTTAATATTTTGACCTTCATTCGATGCATTCATTTTAATCAACCATATTTCTTCTTCCATTTTCACACTATCCAATCGAAAAGTGACATTCGAATTAAAGAAAATTTCTTTTTGTTCATCACATGTAGATTCACTAGAATGAAAACTATTAGTAATAATTACACTGTTACTCAGGTGTTGTAGATCACAATGAATTTCAAAGAGAACAGGAATTAGATCAATTTGTGTCGTCGCTTTCCATGCTTGTTTTAATGTAGTTGAACGAAGAATATTGGTTGTGAGTAGACCATTAGTTGAAACTAATTTACCTTCATTCTCTGTGAATTTCTTGATTTGATCCTTTGTTAATCTCATTTCTCGATAGGTAATTAATAATTCTTTACTAGTTTCAACCAATGTTTGATGCTCTCGAACGAAACTTTCTGCTAAATCTTTCATGAAGTATCGAAATATGTAGAGTTGATTAAAATCTTTGACTCTTAAAGCTTTTTTAATGATTTTGTAGGGAAATGATTTTTTCGAATACCATTGAAGGACTTCTTCTGATCGATAGTCACTTTCAAATTTTTTGATCACTTCCAATACTTTGATATTGTCTCGATAATAGGAAATAGATGTATCGATCATTTCTTGTTTAGCTGTTTCATCGTGTGGTAATTGAAAGAGAACATCATGATAAAGTTGAAACCAAAGAAGATCAGCAGTTTGTTTTGATAAATTCTTTGTCATATATTCATCTTGATCGAAGAAGCTGAGTGTTTGTATATTTTGATCGAAAAAATTTATTTGTTCTTGAATTGATAAGCATAATAAATCGAGCTCATGATATGTACCAAGCAATTTTGGATGTTCAATAACTAGATGTTCAGAATCAATTTTATTCCAGCTGAAGATAAAGATACCATCAATTTGGGGTAGAGTTTCAATATGGTATAATATTTGCAAAGCATCAGAAACTGAAGAAACCAAGAAGACTTTTTCATTATCAATTGATTGAATGAAAGTAATACAAGATTCAACTTGAGTGTAGAACATAATATAATCATTGATTTGATGTAGATAATTCTGTATTTCTTTTGTATCATTATTCAATTCCATCTTTGAATCAAACCAAATCAGAGTGATATCCTCTTTATTGCTAGTTCTGTTCATTGTTTCCAATGAGTTTCTCATCATAATCAAACGTATTACAATAGATAATAAAAACACTTTAAAGTGGTTGTGCGATTGTAATAGCAGACAACAAGTTCTATAAGAAAACAATCGTTTTTAAATCTTGCAATTATGACAGAAAATTTCTATATCTTGATGGAACAAGAGATATATTCGATGGCATATTTAGCTTTCTGTACGGAAAAAAAAGATAATTGAAAAGGCTTTCATAAGAGAAATAATGACTGAACTTCGATTACGAGATAATACTTCTTCTCTATTTTTTACGAAAGATCTAAATAATCGTTCAGTTTCGAACATCATCAGTCATTCTCTGAAATCATTTCCCATCAAAACAACGTTATATAAGTACAAAACTGTCTGCATCTCATTAGTTTTCTAAAAAAGACATAAATTTGATTATGATTACATTTCTCAGAAAAAAAAGAAGAACATCTGCTCAAGAATATGCAAAATTTGAATAGTAAAAATAAAAGTATTGATGCATCTTTATGTTTGAATATGTAAATAATGAAGAAAGAAATATTCATGTTATCTCTTCACATGACTCGACTTACCAGTTAAAATATAACTACTAGTAGAATAAATGACGACGAATATATTTACGTTGATCATCCACAAAACACATTTATAATAGAAAGGAAGTAAATATATGTTTCTTCAACTTGTAACGTGTTTACGTATAGAAAGAAAGTAATTTTTCGCTTGCAACGTGATTATGAAACGTAATACAGACTCCTCACGTTATTCATTCTGTTTTGTTTGTATATACACTATCAATGTTGTCCCCTTACCTACTTTCAATTGCATTGTAGGCTCATCTAGATGTAAAAAAAAGATGAAAGAACTCGAAACAACGTATTCAATCGAATGAGAAATCAGTCGAAATAGACATAAATTGCTTGGAAACATATTGATTATTATTCATTAAAATTATTGACATCGTTATTGAAAATGATTATACCCTAATAATAAAACCATGTCTGATCATTTCTATGGACGAATATTGTACTGTGTAATGGAAACAAAATGAAAAAAAAGGATCTATAGAAATATCTTGTTCAGATTCATATTAAAAGTTTTCAGTGATCTTTAAATACAAATAATATTTACTAGTAGTAATCCAACTCTTTATTGGTTAGCTTCAAGCAAATGAATTTAAATGGTTGTTTTTGTCAGTCAGTAACATTATTGCTCTTATTAGTATGGACGCTCAGCCGACAAAACAGCTCAAAGAAGTGAAACAATAGCAAATGCTCTATGATTAGTTCTTTTTTTTGGAAGGGGCTAGTTATAAGATTGGTATCAGTAGATAGAGAAAATTTTTCTCTATCGAACTGTATATTTAGTTTAAAAAAAAAGAGGCAGTGCCATGAAATCATCAAAATACTCTGACCAATCCTGACACAGATCATTTATAATGACGTTATTATTGAGACGGCATGGCCACAAATTTTGTTTGAGTTTCTCAATTTTTTAGCCAAATCGAGCTCTTCCATTATTAGTCGATGCGCTGAATTGGTTGGAAAGTGCCACAGAACTCGATTCTCTCTACTTACGAAGTTTCAGTAAGTGCATTTCGTTGCCATAGGATACCATATTTTGTTAGGCAGATATCTTAAAAACCGTTTTTGGGCTAGAGAAACGGACTTCACCACTTTTTATAGACCTAGTACGAGAATGTACTGTGTTAATAGTATCTTCCAAAAATGAGTCTAGACCTGTGGCGCCCCCCAAACTGCATTATTTGATATTGATTTGATGAGTCATCGGGCTGAGCGTCCATACTATATGACCGCATATGACTTAACGATTTGTCAAACATATAGAATCGTTTTTTCATGATAGTAAAAATTTCTGTGCATCATTTTTTTTTTATAGAATCGAATACTATAACCTCTGACTGACATAGTTTAACCGTTGAGATTTTGGTTTTTAGACTATCCTTAAAAGTCAATGCATCACAACCTGTTGATTTATACCGGGTAGTTCTACCAGAAATCTCAAACTTTATACAGAAGTATTAGCCAGCAAGCTGAAACTTTTAGCAATTGAAGACTTCAATACATTAAGACCTTTGATGAAAAAATCCTACGGAGTTTCATTCGGCATCATAGTTTTTTTTGAAGCCACAATATGTCATCTTTCGACCTATAAGAACCATACATAACATTTTTCATCATTTTGTAATATTGACTTTTTTCTGTAACTATAAGCCATGATTTGAATTTTATACATAGGGTGGATGTGGATGTGGGTATTTATGTTCTCTTCAACCACATCCACACATCCACTAGGTTCCTGTCGGAACGAATTTTTTCCCGTAATTCCCATCTCGTTTCCCACGAGAATCAGGAACGGGAACGATAAAAAATATTCATTCCCGAAAATTGGCTTGTTCGATTTCCATATGCGCTAAAATGTGTTCGTACAAAAAGCTTTTATTTCCAATAACTATTTTCGTATATCATAAACAGCAAATATCTATCAATAAAATTATGAAAATTCATTCGTCAAGCAAAATTATCAAAATCATCTTACAAACTATTAAAATAATCTTCTTATTTTGAGCTTCTTGCTTTTCTCATTGGTCTTCTCAAAGTGCAACTATATTTATTCTTTTTCTTAATTATGCACTAGATGTTGACAATAATTTTCTTGAGATTAATAAAATTTCAACATCTAAATAATAGTTTATTT